GACTTGGAAAATCTAACACTCACAGGATATTTTGAAGGCAAGACAATCAGAGGAAAGAGAGTGTAGCGGATTTGCGTGAATTGATGACAGAATAGGAACAGGAGGAGGCGGTAAAGAGTCAAAGGTTTCTTAAAGAAACAGAAAAACTGGAAGTTCACATATCGAAAGGACATGACATTTAGGCGTACTGGTCTCTTCTGAGGATGCTGTGGGAAGAGGAGTTACTGATATTTAAAACTTGACATAAGAAAACATCAAATAAGCTTAATTTCCATATTTTTTAGCTTTCCGATTAATGGATATTAATTAATGGACAATAATTTTGTAATTTAAATGATGTTATTTTATTTTTTGGCGACACGGGAAAACTAGTAATGATGATGGTGATGATGTTGTTGATGATGATGATGATGATGATGACGATGATGATGATGATGATGATGATGACGGTGATGGTGATGATTGTGATGATGATGATGATGACTGTGATGGTGATAATGATGATGGTTGTGATGATGATGATGATTTTGACGGTGATGATGATGATGATTGTGATTATGATGATTGTGATTATGATTGTAATGGTGATGATGATCTCTAACCTCTTTTATTTTATTTTCATCATAATGAAGAAACGTAATAGAAATTTAAAAGTTTGTGTAGAAATATCAAACGATTTGCGCATCTATTTTATCGGGTGTCTCCCTTAAAATCCTGGCTCCAAATGTTCAATATTCACACAGTTGTATTTGTTTGGTACAAAGGACAGGCAGCCGACACGCGACATATTCAAATAAATAGCAGGTGCTCCGAATTCACTGAAACACCTGCTGTTCTCATGCACCATTACTTTTATTCTGAAGTATTTTGTTATAGTTGATTCCTGCGGTAAGAAGGGCGCCTGTATTGCTATTTACTAGTTAGTTTTGTCTGACACAAGGTCAATAAAGTATAGAATTTACTCACAAAATATATTTTGTGAGTAAATACTATACCTTATTGACCTTGTGCCAGACAAAACTAATAATTCGGAGCACCTGCAATTTATTTGAGTATGTCGCGTGTCGGCTGCCTGTCCTTTGTCCATAAATAAATCTCCTTAATAATGGCGCCAAGCCATAAGCGCGCGAAACTCATAGAGGTTTTAACACAAAACAGTAATAATGGTTTATGAAACTTATTTGCCATCAATTGCTTCACGGTGAGACGTTTAGTAACTGATATTTCTCAACCTTAGTTTAGTCTAATACAAATCTACAAGTGTTGGACGAACATCCTTCGAGATCGTTTTATATTAATGCCCCCCCCCGGTTCTATCCTTAGATTTACGTTGTTTCTTATCTTCATTAACGACCTTCCCTATGTCATCAATTCCCAACTAGATGTTTATGCTGATGACACAGATATTTCCTCCTGTCTTAATAGTAAGTCCGACAGATCCGATAAAAATAAAACTGGCAGCTGCTCTCGAAAATGACCTCCAATCAGTTGTTCACTGGGACAAGAAATAACTTGTAAATTTAACGCCTTCAAAATGAAATCATCATTTATCACCATATAGTAAACTTTTGCCTTCCATCAGCAAGGCTGATGCTAACCCCCATGAAAGCAAGCCATTATGGCTTCTTGGTCTCACGTTTCCCACTAACAGGAGTGATTATATTGAATCATTTCTTAGCTCTACTGCTAGGAAATTTGGTTCACTCTGTCGTGACAGACAATTTTTATCGTCCGTATGAATCTTACCCGTTCATAAATCTACCATTCGTCCGTGCATTGAATATTGCTGTCATATCTGGTTTGGTGTTCCTGCTATATATCTCGAGACAAAATCCAAAAAAAGGTCTGTAATGTTATCCTGACCTGGCATCTCGACTTCAATCACTTTCCAACCAACTTGACGTTGCTTCTCTCTGTCTTTTCTATAAATATTTTCATGGCAGTTTTTCTAATTTTCTCCTTAGTAACTCGACAGTATGAATTTAAGTGTACTACTAGATTGGCAATTAGGTCTCATCGTTTTACTCTTGAAATAGCTAGATACAACCGTAAATTCTATTCTAATAGTTTCTTCTTGCACTTCTTGTCTGTGGAAAGTTCTTCTGGATTCTTGCTTCTCTGGCGCCAAAAATCTTTAAAAATTTAAATGTAACCTCAATCGCCATCTTCTGTCTTCTTGAAACCAGCTCTTTTATTGTTCTTTCTCCTCAGTAGTTTTCTCATTCTCTTTCATTCCCAGTAAACCCTTTGCGTCTTAGTGTTATTATCACCTTGCTTGGGGTGAAATGATTAAAAAAATGTATGGAACACTCAGTGACTAATACGTTGACTACTGTAATAATGAAATGCGAAACTAGTATTGTAAACATGGGTGTACAGCAAATGTTTAATCTTCTTCTGGTATAGAGACATGTATGTGGGTCATCCTGTGAATATCGAACTCACTACAGTAGGAATGTTGTACGCAACGCTTTTGCTAAGCTCTACTTAACAGAGAAGCTGGTTATATTTCATCTCAACTGAGTTAGTATTTATCATTGATTAAACTTTTCTCCCTGATGTGTCCGTGACATCAGTGACTATAGGAACTTGTTCTTGTTCATTGGAGAGATACATTTTTTAAAAGCACTGGCTCGGTGAGACATAGAAGTGAACTCCATCGATCCACCTTGGGCCCAATGTCTGTTGGTTTCAACAGCATTCTGGATAATCAAAGGATTATCCATAGTTTTTTTTGTTTTTTTTTTTAAATCTATCGCGTTTTTTTTTTTTGTTTTACAGACTTATTAACTGAAACCCCACGGCTAAGCATTTTTGTACAGATTCAGTTGACTGGAGTGTGAAATCGTAATTTTTATAGACTGGTTTCTATGATTAGAGAGGCCAGATCGCTCTTCTATTTAACCCATAGCTGAGAGGAGAAAAGGTGAATACATACATTTCCAAGGGGTATTTGTGCGAAATTAAATGTATCAAACTCGACTGGAATTCGAACTTAACTCACCGATTTCTTGCTCCGAGTTTCCAACCACCTGCACATCCACAATGTGAAATCAAAAGCTGTAAAATCATTTGTATTCGAATTCCTTGCCGAACCAAAAATTATACGAAAATTAAGAATAAAATCAGTTATATTTTTCGTGAAGGATACAAAACTCCCAAAACATTGGTTAAAGGAATAAGATACTGAGAAAAGGATTTTGTTGGTGATTTTCATTTGCTAAGTTATGACACATCCAACTGCATTTCTTATATCTACTAGCTTTCACTTTATATAGAGCCAGAAACGATTTATTCACTTTAAAATTTACCATATCCTATTATCCCCAAAATGTGCGGATATTTTGTGGTACTCAATAGTTTTCCAATAGTAATGAACAAATTCAGGTTAAATATATATATATATATATATATATATATATATAATATATATATATATATATATATATATATATATTAGTGAATATATATAATATTTCATAATGATAGCACAATCTTACTGACCTTTAAAGCGTGATGAAATTCGTTTTCTTGTGCTTCTGATTTAAAATTGTGTGTTATGACTTAATTATTTATAATTTATATCGTTCACATTCTTAATATATGCTTAAGAGTTCTGTTATATAACAGTGAGCACTGTTTTCATAACACCTAAGAAAAACTATATATGTACGTGCAAGTATATGAGCATATACATAAGTTTTTATCACACGCACGCACACGCACACATATATATGTGTGTGTGTGTGTGTGTGTGTATGTGTGTGTGTGTGTGTGTGTGTATATAAATGTAATATAAATGTAAATAGTGCCGCTACTTGAATTCGAGGATGCCAGTCTACTAGGGCGGCTAGCTAATTCCCATTGTAGACGCCTGCTCAGGCACATTTGTGTTTGTTCAACACCCACAGATCCCAGCTGTGGCTATACTGCAATTATGCTGAGCGGACATTAGTTGCAGTTTCTGGGAGAGAGCGAGTTATCTTGTGTGATTAACAGTCTACGAACGCTGACACTCTCAAATCCTCGGTCACGATGACTTGCGACTTCGTGCTAGCACAACCACCGACGGCTTCCAAGGGTTGCATATACCCAATTTCACTCACTCATATATATATACATTATACATAATATTCTTGCATTTTTTCGTTTAGTGGGAGTAAGGGAGTGTAATAATATATATGTATGAAAGAGGGAGTATGTGTACGTGTGTGTGTGTGTGTCTATATATGTGTGTGATATTTGATTAAATCTTTTTTGTGGTTGCTTATCTATAGTGAGCTAACTAGTTTAGTTTAGCATCCCTTATATTGTCAGTACATTACACATATTTTAATTTCTCATTTCTTTCTTTCTTTCTTTCTTTCTTTCTTTCTTTCTTTCTTTCTTTCTTTCTTTCTTTGTTGTTCATTTTGTTCGTATCTATCTATCTATCTATCTATCTATCTATCTATCTATCTATCTAAATCTGGTTCTTATCTATCTATCTATCTATCTATCTATCTATCTATCTATCTATCTATCTATCTATCTATCTATCTCACGGTGAGTATATCCATGTATCCATCAACTTATCGAACAGTTCCAAATATAATCTCTTTTCATTGTCAAAGACGATCAAAACGATCGAAAGATCAACAAAAAAATCCGTTCTTGTCACTTAACTCAAGAGACGTTTTAACCTTACGATAGACTTTAACGAATTAACAAAATGAAAGCAACTTGCTGGGCGACTAGAAAAGATGTAATTTTTGCAAAGAAAGATTGGGAAGAAGATTGGGAAAGCGTAAATATAAAAATAGCGGTTCCGAAATAATCGCATTGTAAGAAAATCTCATAAATGAAAATACTAAAGAAAAGGAAAAAAAAATGACCCATAAAAAGTAAGCAAAGGAAAAATGTTTGCGAAATTTACAGGATAAAATTCAAAAATACAGCGAAAGAATAAGAAAAAAAGAAAGGAAAGAAAAAGAAGTAGAGAAGGAAGCATAAAAATACAGTTAAAGATTTAAAGAGAAAAATAAGTAAAATACTGAGAGATGAATACATGAGAAATGAATAAAGATTGAAGATGAAAGAGAAAAAAAAAAAAAAAAAAAAAATTGTATGCAGCATTTCAAGCATAAATGAGAAAGAACGAAATAGCAAGAGATAGATGGCAAATTATATGAATATTTAAACAGAAAGAAAGAAGAAAGGAAGGAAAAGAAAGAAAGAAAAATTAAAACCAAAAAGGACGAATAGAAACTAAAAGAAAGAAAGAAAGAAAGAAGGAAAGAAAGAAAGAAAGAAAGAAAGAAAGAAAGAAAGAAAGAAAGAAAGAAAGAAAGAAAGAAAGGAAAGAAGGAAGGGCAATAAGATGGAGAAATAAGTACAGGAAAGATATAAGCAAATAAATAAATAAATGTAGATAACAATGAACAGTGAGAAAGGGAGATAAAGAAGTACCTCATGAAGAAAGTGGGAGAAAAATGAAAAAGAGAAAACAGAAAGGAGTGGGAGAAAGAGTTAAAAAAAAAGAAAAGAAGAAGAAACGAGAAAAATAAACAAAAAGGAAAGAAAAAAAAGAAAATTAAGAATATAGAGAATAAAAAAGAGAGAGAGAGAGAAGTAAAAGAAAGAAAGAAAGAAAGAAAGAAAGAAAGAAAGAAAGTCAGAAAGAAAGCAAATGTGAGCTGTAATGAGGGAAAAGCTACATAGTCGTAACTGGAAGAGTGAGGGAAGAGTAAATTAATTGAAAACACTTGTCACTGGGGGTTGATGATGATGATGATGATGATGATGATGACTCCTGGGTGGGGGTGAGGGATGATACATCGTTCGAATAAAGAAAGGAAGAATTAATGCCTCGCACGCGCCGAGCAGAACGTGAGGTTTTACTGAATGAAGATTACACAAAACTGCTATTGTTATGTCGCACTTGTATTTAACAAATACTCACCATTTTGTTTTGTACTATTCTTGTTTGTCGTGTTGACTTTTAAAAAGATGTCTTAAAACAACAACAAAAAAAAAAGCATCCAGTGTATTTTGATAATTCGGTCGCCAATTTTCATATAAGCATTTTTCGTTGATTTATTCCAAGCGGTCCCCCATCTAAGTACTGACCTGGCTCTACGATGCCTAACTTCGGTGATCGAACGAGAACCGGTGTTTTCAGCGTGATTTGACCGTAAGCGTGATTTGACCTGGTACTGTAAGCCCCCAAAGTCCAACCCATACCTCACAGTCGGTGGTGGGGGGGGGGGGGTGTAAACGGTAGTGTCAGAGCTATGCCGCCCGGAACTTCGTTCCTGGTAGGGCCACCCAAGGCGGACAGGTCTGACACACACGCCGGCTAACAAGGGCTCTGGTGAAAATCCAAGGAGCGTCTGCATAGGTAACCGGTGGCTTCTGGTCGTTCCTGTCTATGCGTCTGTAGGAAACCCCGCGGCAAGCAAGAACGTTATCCGAGTAGGCCTGGGTACCCTACTTCTGTAATTTATCCCAAGAATCTTCTTCTCATAACAGGAAGAAGCCGGCTCAATCCGCCCAGGGTGAATGCCGCATCAGTACAGCAGTACAGTAGTTGATTTATTGGGATTTTACTGATCGCAACTCTTATCATTATTATTATTTTTGTTTATGTGTTATGTTTCCTGCTTTCTGTCCTGTGGAGCCGGGTCCAAACTATGGTCCTTAGGCCCTATAGGAGAATTGTCATTTAATTGATAGCACTTTTCTTAGTATATGGGATGTTCCTAGTAGAGCAGTATTTTGGACAACTTGTATGTTCATATTACCTGGGACACTGTTAGTAAAATTGCCCATTCCTTTTCTCACGAGGCCCGGAGCTTCAGTTACTATTAGCACAGTCTCAGCCTTCATTCTCCACATCCAGTTAATCTTGATTTCCAGGTTGTTATATTTGGACAATTTCTCGATAATTTTCATGGAGATGTTTCTCGCAGATGGTACTGCCATATCAATAAGCATACACTTGCTGAATTTCTTGTCTTTTATGATAATATCAGGTCTGTTGGCTTTTATTTCCTTGTCAGTTTGAATTGGCATGTCCCATAGGATAGTTACATCGTTATTTTGGCTAACTGTGTCTGGTTGGTGGTCATACAGTCTCTCAATAGTTTCGATTTTGTGCTTCTTGCATATCTTCCAGTGCACATATGTCGCTACCTTGTTATGTCTCTGGGTATATTTATTTATTTATTTTGTTGGTTCCGGTTATCCTGAGATAATATGGTCGACAGTTTCATCATATTTTCCGCAGATCTTACACTTCGGGTTAGATCCATCCTTGTTTATGTGACAGTAATAGGATCTGGTTGCGAGGTTTTGGTCTTGAACTGCAATAATTAGGCCATGTATTATCTTTATTATTATTATTATTATTATTAGTAGTAGTAGTAGTAGTAGTAGTATACTTCCTTCGCACGGGTTTTCATTTTCAACCAGAGATTTTGCATTATGGGTATTCTTCCTCAAGTCGTAGACAAATAACATTTTCCCCAGAATATTTGCAGTGTTAAGCAGCACAAGCTTCTGAAGCGTTGGGATACCAGACTTCATCCTAACTTTCTCAATGTAGGAATTTAAATTCTGTGACATTGGGCCCAATATCCCAGTCTGAGACAATAGTTGTTTGAATGTCCCACATTTTGGCAATTTCAATCGAGGAGGTCGGTATATTTCTTAAACTTTTCAATTTCTTTGGCTTTGACATTATGGTCATCATCACCTTTTTTCCAATAGGAAAAGTGTTATTTTCTGCTTTTGTTATCACGTAATTCAGTACAATTTTTGGCGCATATTCCTTGAAGGGAAGTGTTGCAGGATTCTGTGATGTTCGGGTAAAAATTTTGGTTGGATTTTACACTATTGATGTGACTATGTGGACGTTTTATATTAAATATTTATGGTCTCCTGGAACATTTGTCCCACTAATAATATTGGCGAACTCATGTGAGTTCGGGTAAAAAGAAACACAAAACAAGGAATTAAAAACAAACGGCAATTAATGTATGTATTAACAAAAATATTTGCATGTGTACACAAGTGAAACTAACTACAAGAATGTGCTTGTTGTGCGTGTGTGTATGTGTGAAAGAAGCGCATGTGATAGACACGTGTATATGTTTGTGAGAGTTCAAAATGACCAAGAAAGCGAACGTGCCCCGACAGCAACGTTCTTCATAACTCATAGAGATTGAAATATAAAACAAAATCAACCAAACCCAACGATAGTAAATAAAAACAAACGTAAACCGTTCATACTAGTACATGTAATACAGACTATTATTATTATTATTATTACTATTATTTTTGTTATTATTATTATTATTTTTGTTATTATTATTATTATTACTACTACTACTTTTATATGCTGTGTTCCTTGCTAAAAAAATAACATTCAAACCACATTGAAATACATTCTGGCCTGACTTATCCATATACATAGGAGTTAACAGCTGTATTACGTTGAAAGACCATTTTTCTTACGATGAAGTCAAACACGTCAAACCTGGTCCGTACTTAGGTGTATAACCGCCTGCGAATATTAGGTAAGTTGGGATGTACAGGTGGTGTAATGTATAACGGCTCAGAATTGGTATTCCAGTTGGATTCGCTAAATTCACTTACGCGCTTGGGAAAGGTATGGATCCACATTCCCCCAGCTATGGGTTAATAGTAGGAATTGTATAAGTAAATCATTATCTCGAAAAAAATTTCTTCCTTTCTGGCTCTAAATAACTTTCAAAAGCTTGATAAGTCTTCAAACATAAATCAATCAGCCCGTGAAAACAAATACGTAGTTTCTTTCAGATTTACACACCATATCTGGAAAGTAGCTGAAAAATAATCTGTCGATTCTGTAATTGCACAACCGTTACAAACCTGTGGTATATATATATATATATATATATATATATATATATATATATATATATAAAGATGAAGAAATATACTCTTAAAGGTGGGCTATATTTATGGGATAAAGTGCTCAATATCAGAGATAGAGCGTGTGTAAATATAAAAGTGAACATTGAAGTCAAGAGCCTCTAAGTGTTGACTTTAATGTTCACTTATATATATATATATATATATATATATATATATATATATAAATTCTGTCTTGTCGTTACAGGGAAAGGTTATAACTTTGTTTCTACTGTCTCTAAGCAGTATTATTCTAGCTTTTTAGAAAGGCCAGCTTTTCGTGGTATTAAGTCTCTTTTTAGAGCACTTCCTAAACAATATATTCATTTTCCAATAATGTAATGATCAATATATCCATCATCATAATCAATAATCCATGTCAGAGTAGTAGCCCGGGTGTACGCGCACGGGCTCCCCACATTAAATCGACCTTGTCTCACAATTTGAACTCGTGGGGTGTTGAGTACATGCAAATTACTCTAAAGTAGTTTGTAACACCTTTATTTATCATCTGTCAGTTGCGTCTCTGTCTTTGGGCTGAGTGTGCTCAGGGGTGGCTCCGTCAAAGGACAGAGTCGCAACTGAGGAAATTTATATTGAGAAGTGCCAGCCCTGGGGAACAGCTGTTCGAGGCCGTGTCCTCTCATTGCACCAGAGAGAGGGATTGGTGATCGCACCGAGGCTAACGCAACCGACAGTCGTGGGGGCTCGAGGAATTTTTCTTCCTAGCCCGGATATACGCGCTCGGGCTCCCCACATTAAACCGACCTTGTGACACAACATCACTTCGTTAGGGGGGGGGCGATTAAATACCAAAATACTCTAAAGTAGAGTTGACCTTGTGCCACAACCTGACTCCGTGGGGAGTGGGGGGGCGTCAAGTAAATACATTTATACTCGGAAAAAGGCAGTTGAAATTTATTTGAGACAAAGTCAAGAGGGGCAGACGAAAACAAATAACAAACTCATGTAAATGGATGACAGATCAGTAAATGGAAGGAAGGGGGGATTGGAGAATTCTACACTCAGAGGACTTATCGAATGCGAAAAGGACAGGAAAAGGCAGAAGGCCACCTACCAGATGAGCTTGTGGGAGCGATGTCAAAAAGACAAACGCTACTAAGAACTGCAAGAGGTAAGAAGATTTGAAGAACCATGGTTGTCTACATCCTGAAGGGACACGGCACATAGAAGAAAATTATAGCGAAGAAAACGGCGACTTACCTCGTCAAACCAAGCGACTGCGCGTCGCGTGTATCCTACGACGGAAAATGTGGCGAAAAAGAAAATTGAGTGTCCTCTTCCAGCTGTCGACGAATGGAAAAAATGCTCGGCCGATAAAAGCAGTTGGCGTTCTCGAATCGGGGAGTAAAAATTCGGGTATTTTGGCTACCGCTGTTGTTGGAGAGTGAGTTATTTTTCTGACTGGTTGCGTACATTGTGAGATAGTACCTGTGAATCGAGTTTTCGGCATTTCTTTCTGTCCCCCGGTGTTCGAGTCTGAACTTAGTGATTTATTCTCTGCGTTGTGGAAGTAATTTGCGACAAATATTTCCTTTGCAATCCCAGATCGATACAAAAATCTGAGAAATCTGATATATATTAAAGGAATAAGTTTGTATTGTAATGAAATAAAGCATTCATATATTTCAATCTCAAAAAGAAACAAGTGATTGGGACGGTACGGAGTTTTGTATATTTCCTGTCTTTTTTTTTTTTACCAAAAGATTTCGAAGCCCTTCTTTAGATTGTAATATCTACCAGGCTTTGTTCATTTTCGCCTGAAAGAATTAAAGCTTCATTCAAAGTGTTAGTGGGACATGGTAATATTTTGGTGGGTCACGTTGGGAATGATTGGCCTAAACATTGAAGAATGCGTTGCTTTTACGAAACTTAATTTACTAGCTCACTTCAGGCCTGATGTACTTTCACTTCCTGACGGATTTTATGAGATATTCAATAAATAATAATAGCTAAATTAACCATAACATTCTAGTTCTTTTTGCTGGCTAATAGTTATCTTAGGATTGGTAGATTTTAATAAAATTGAATGTCATGATGCACTAATGGGTTAAATAGTTACCGCATCACAGCTTAATTAAATCAGAGTATGGTACTGACTAAATATTAAATTCAGAGGGTGGCTGGTTGGTTGTTTTGTTTTATGGCATATCAACCTCAGTGGGTGATTTAATACCAACAAAATTTTGAAATAGATTCATAGCGATAGTTTGGAAAAAAAAGGTGTGTATGTATACATATATATTTGAACCATTTTTCAGTGACACATGTTTTTGAGTACAATTCAACTTCTTTTAGGAAATTTACAATTTTGGATGGTTTTATTTTCGTAAAAAGTTTTTTCTTTAAATTACTCACTTGGTAATATTTTATTCGCACTACATCAAAATCTACAAACTCTAACAGTATATTATGTTTGTTTTGGTTTGTTTTACGGTATATCAACCTCCATGGGTTATTTAATGCCGGCAAAATTTTATTGCTGGAAATATAGTTTTCTTCAAAAATTTATTTCTGGAAATATTTTTTCCTTGAAGAAATGTATAGTTGTTTGTATTGCTGGTATTTTGTTTTTAAATTATTGCTGATAATAATTTTTTCTTCAAAAATTATTGCTGATAATAATTTTTTCTTCAAAAATTATTGCTGATAATAATTTTTTCTTCAAAAATTATTGCTGATAATAATTTTTTCTTCAAAAATTATTGCTGATAATAATTTTTTCTTCAAAAATTATTGCTGATAATAATTTTTTCTTCAAAAATTATTGCTGATAATAATTTTTCCTTCAAAAATTATTGCTGATAATAATTTTTCCTTCAAAAATTATTGCTGATAATAATTTTTCCTTCAAAAATTATTGCTGATAATAATTTTTTCTTCAAAAATTATTGCTGATAATAATTTTTCCTTCAAAAATTATTGCTGATAATAATTTTTTCTTCAAAAATTATTACAGGTAATATTTTTTTTTGTTACAAAGTATTTCTGGTATTAAAACCTATTTTTACACAAGTTTGGGTGTTAACTATTTGCCCATAGCTGGACCCTAACAGGTGCTACCACCCCGGGTCGGGTTGGAACTGGGAACACCAGCAATTAAGAGGTGGTTGCACGCTCCTCTAAACCTCCTGATCAGAGGCCTTGCTGCAGGGTGAAGTTTATCGTCTTACCCAGGACGCATTCAGAGGGTGACCCAAACGTTTGACTTATAGTGTATATATATATATATATATATATATATATATATATATATATATATATATATATAGCACGAAGCCACAAGTCATCGTAGATGAGGGCTTGGGCGTGCTGACCTTGTTCAAATTGTTGATCATGCTAGATAACACGTTCTCTCCCAGAAACTGTAACTAAGGTCTGCTCATCATAGTTGCAGTATAAAACACAGGTGGGCTCAGTGGGTGTTGAACAAACACAAATGTGCCTGAGCGAGCGTCTGCAATAGGGATTGGCTATCCACCCTAGTAGATGGGTATTCTCGAATACGAGTGGCCAGCTATTAATATTATTACACACACACACACACACACACACATATATATATATATATATATATACTAGCAGCATGGCCCGGCGTTGCCCGTGCTTGATTCAAAAATCGTACTACAGCAATCGCTATCACTTGACTTAAAATATTTTGCCCTTCCTTGCTTTTTTTAAAGGAGTGCCCTTTGCCGTGCTGATGTTGCTACATGCCTTACTTCTTGCCTATCTCACACTGCGAATTTTTTTAAAGCTCTATACTGAACATTAAATCTGTTATGAAAACTGAACTAAACAAAATGAACACAAAACGATCAAAAAACCGAATGAAAAAAGAATGTTAGCAACAAATACTTTTTCACACCCAACCCAGTTCTGCGGAATCAGAATCAACGTTGAGTTTAAGCGTTGAATGAGCCAATTGGAGCAAAGTGCCATGCAGATTTAAATTTTTCCCACTTGTGACGAATGCAGCTATCGATTTTCTTTTTTTGCATGCTAGCATGCTAGTTAACATTCGTGTCAGTCAGCTGTTGGCTCTCACGCTGGCCAGGAGAATCTTCCTGCCTATTCGTGGCAGCCAGCTATAGGCTCTCACCTGGCCAGTACAAAATGGCCGCAAACTACATGAAAATGCCGTAGAAGCATGAAAAATCGATTATTTCCACTATCGATGGGTGTTGGGAAATGCAAAGTCGGTCTTTGTCTTCCCTTAACTTGGAGCATGTGCATGTAAATTTTGGTGCAAATCCGTCGAAAATTACGGCCGTGCATTCGTTACACACACACACACACACACACACACACACACACACACCCTGCCTTATATATATATATATATATATATATATATATATATATATATATATATATATATATATGTAATAATACACGTAATAATAGTTTTGATATAAATGTATTAATATATAAATAATTTTGAAATAATTTTTATATATATTTTCTTTCTAATATAAATTTATAATTATATCTTTTAGTACTGAAGTAATAGTGATTTTGTTAATATACGATAAAAAATTCCTATGTCTATTTTCCTGATAGAAACCAGGTGAATATTCTAATATAAGTCAAGGTCACGTCTACATGCTACCATCCCCATATCTAGACGTTACTACACTTTCTTTACCTCTCCCTTTCTTTTCTTTCTTTTTTTTTCTTTTCACTATTTCTTTTACTCTTTCCTTTTTACCTTTTTATTCTTCCCTTCTTTTCCTATATCTTGTTTTAAAATTTGGTTTAGACCTGGTTTCATTACATTTAGTTATTTCTTATTACCTTGATCAGTTTGAAAATCCTTACAGGTAATCTCAATCTGTATGGTGAAATGATCATAACATTACATGAGGTAATTTTAATTCCTATTGTATATAATATATATATTGAAAATCCTTATAGGTAATCTCAATCTGTAAGGTGAAATTATGATAACATGAGGTAATTTTAATTCCTATTGTATGTAATATATAGATACATATATATGTATCTATGTGTGTGTACATTTGTGTGTGTGTAAAAATTTCGGATAGAAATAAAGTTCCACAGAGGAAGAAACGTGTCTTTTGTATATATATATATATATATATATATATATATATATATATATATATATATATATACTAATCTTAGGTAGAGTGCCAGAAAATTACTAATTTTTAATAGAGTACACCGATATTCTGTTCTTTGTGGTGCTGATACATACTTAAATAATACCGTAATTTTGAATTAGAAGTAGCTTATAGTAGAAATTAGAAGTAGCTTATATTCTCTTCGAAATATACAAATAAGTGCATCGAATGATTTTCAAGCCGAAGATCTTATTCTTTGGAGGCAGCAAGAGAGGTTTACAAGAAATTGCGCTCAAAATGAAACCTCTGAAATATGATCCAATCCAACATAGATCTGTTATGTAATTTCTTTTGATACACATAATCTTAGCTTAACAGTAAGACAAAAAGTCTCTTAGATACATCGAAAACCTTTACGAAGTAAATACATTTATAAATGTAAACAGCACTTCGATGGTTGGTTTTCAATGAAGTAAGGCATTTCCTACTTTGAAGTTTGGCACAGTACAATATTTCCTTTAGACACGGACTACATGACGTTGGGAACCATGTAAAACCCAGAGTCTCGGGGACTCGGGGAATTTTTGTTCTTAGCCCGGGTGTACGCGCACGGGCTCCCCACATTAAATCGACCTTGTCTCACAACTTGACCTCGTGGGGTGTTGAGTACATGCAAATTACTCTAAAGTAGTTTGTAACACCTTTATTTATCATCTCTCAGTTGCGTCTCTGTCTTTGGGCTGAGTGTGCTCAGGAGTGGCTCTGTCAAAGGACAGAGTCGCA